TATTTTCCATTTATTTGGATCACTATTTTGGTGCGGCAGTGTGGGAGGAAGTATTCAGTATACGCTGGAATAATAGGGGTTAAATGTACAGTTGGATGAGCAGCCATGATGGTCAACTGCTTAGTATGTAGAGACTGTCTGGCCATTAGTTTACTCCAGTCTAGTGGTGGATTAAGAGTTAAATAATATGAGGAGGAGGGTATATATTTTGGGTTGCCCCGCCGTGCAGCCACCCTTTGTGATGAAGTTAGAAGTTATGAAACGTGCTGGAACGTAGCTGCATGGCAACCAGATGTGATGTCAAGACCGGAACTAGAAGTTACAGTAATGTGATCAGAGCATTCCGGCAGTGGTGAGACAACATTATTTGACTGATAAGGAAAATGGTGTAGCGCTGTGTATACTGTGATATATTTAAAATAAATGGTGAAAATCAATAAAAGATGTGAATAAAAGTAACTTGGTTCAAGTAACTTTGTGTGACACTGTATATGATCAATAAAAAAGATGTGATTTAAAAACAAGTTACCGGTAATTCAAATATATATGAAGTATGGATAGTATGATTCAAACAAATAGAGAAAATATGTGAATGCATAAATGTGACATGGAGACACTTAAAATGAAATCAACAGTGACCAAATCATACACCGTGACAGTAGCAATATTAAATTATATATCGCAAAGTCCCAAGGATAAATGAAAAGTGCTAGATTTCAAATCTTCAACCATATATATTTTGCGTGCTCAAAGCTTGTGCCAATCTATCTGTCACCATCTGGCGTGCGCGCTCTCCTCAAATATTTGACCCTCAAGGAGTCATAGAGCATAATGTATCACCAGATGATCCCAGGCAGGATGGAGTTCTCCCTCTGGCTGGACACAGGGTCAGCTCCCACCGTAATCAATCACTAAATGGTCAAACACCTTTAATGGAATCTTCAGTGGCTTCTACACAAGATGGCTGTGCTCTGGTAGTGCCAGCTACTTGTCCAGGAAAACATGAGCATTTCACAGTTTGTGATCTCTCCTCAATACGATTTTTATTGCAGCATCGGTGAACTGCGACCACCTCACATGTGCCTTGCTTGACCTGATGATGACCTGATTTTGTTGTGTAGGAAAAGCTGTCTGTTTAGTTATTTCAATGTGCAAAAAAAAAATAAATTTATATTGCTATTGATAAGCTGTATGATTTATTCGCTGTTGATTTCACTTTATGTGTCTCTATGTCACATTTATGCATTCACATTTTTGCTCTATTTGTTTGAATCATGGTACATTCCATACTTCATATATATATTTGAATTAAGTTATTTTTATTCACATCTTTTTTATTGATCATATACAGTGTCACACCAATAATTGAAACAAGTTACTTTTATTCACATCTTTTATTGATTTTCACCATTTATTTTAAGTATATCACAGTATACACAGCCGTGCACCATTTTCCTTATCAGTTTGTTATACATTATAGTAAAGCAGAATGTTAGCAGCTACTTTTATATTCTGAGACTATTGTTGGCAGCACATGAGTCCACCCTCCCATTCATTTTGAACATTATTTGACTGCCACACCTGATGTCTATCCACATGTTAACTGAGATGACCATTTTTATATTGTGGATTTTCAATTTTGAATAAAGCTTTTGCATTGGGTATTGTACAACTGGAAGTTTATTTTTATTTTCCATAGTGATGATACTTGGTGGATTGGAGTGAGGAGTTCAGTGGAGATTAACCACCAGAGAGCAGATGTGGAACTCTTAAAGCGAGCTATGCCAACCATGAGAGTGGGAGGCATGGCGGTTTGGTGAGTGTTTACCCACAGGGGAGAGGAATTTTGCACAAGCACTTGTGGTGTCCTGGTGGAAAGAAGCAATTTTGCAAAGAATTGAAGCACTTTGTTTTCACTTATTTGCCAGTGTGGACTATCATTATAAGGACTGCACAATTTGATGTTTACTTTATAATGGCGCCACTGTGGAGTGAGCACTTTACACTTTATTGTTTCTCTGAATTAAGAAGGTGGCAGCAGTGATTTATTATTATTATAGGTCTATGAATGTATTTTTTTCTTTTCTAGCAGTAAATAATGTTTTAATGGTAGGAGTATATAATAATTTTTTCACAGAGTATTGGTTGATTATTATTATTTTTTTCTTTAGCGCTGAGGTTTTTTTCACATTATTAACCATAAATGGTATGCTGAGGAGACTGGAGTGTGACCGGAGCCAGTTGCTGCTTACGGAACAGTTTGCAGGAGGCTTTCTTTATTACTGGCTTTAGCAGAGTCTCTCCAGCACTGAGACTCTGTTGAAGCTACCAGGAAGGTAAGTATTTACTCAGTTTCTGTGCACCCCTAAATACAATGAGCATTTAATCCTTGCAGTATTGGGATCTTACTACAAGAGTGACCTTTTTTAAAATTCCTGGTGTTTGGGTTTTAAGATCCTGGTTTTGGGTAAATTTTTTTTATCTTCATTTTAAAGTGGTTTTAAAGCCTAAATATGTTTACCTTAATGCAATATTTGCTCCTGAAGACTGTCCGTGTAAGCTGTCTGCTTGTACATTGTACGGGCAGGCAGTTTCACACTGACAGGAATAATCAATGATCTACCAGAGCACTCAACATTGAAAACTACAAGCCGACATCTGCAAAGGATGTCGGCACTTGTAGTTCATTCACAGAACTCTGTGATTGAATGATGCGGCCGTGTGGGTGGAGACCTGCATGGCCATGCTCTTTTTAAAAGGTGACCACTGGTATGGGGAACTTCTCCCCGTACTGCAGTCACACAGTGGGCTTGGATCGCCAAGCCTCTACAGGAGCGGCAACATGTTCCAGAAGGTGAACTTATCCTTTAATTCCCCCTCACCCCTCCTTATACTTGCCTGAGCCCTCATTCAATCCGGCTCTGTGTCCATCTTCTGCAGCTCTCTCTCCTCTCACTGCCTGGTATCGCAGGCTTTGTTGGGGGGAGGGTGAGCCATTGGCTCCTGCTGCTGTCAATCAAAGCCAGTGACGAGGGAGCAGGGGTAATTTACATTGTCTTTATTACCTAGGCAGCACACACCCCTGAAATACACACACAGTGTTAGGAATGGACTGGCCAGCAATGGTGGGACTCACCTGCCTTTTGATCTGCAGTACCAGGGCTGGCCAGCGGGTGCTCCCAGCAATCAGAGACTCAACCTTTCAGCCAGCTAACACCTGGAACTGATGATGCTGGGGTATTTAAGGGATAGCCAGACTCACAGACTCTGCCTTGGTGTTGTGTTTGTCCTGGGGCCCTGTATCTGTCCTGCATCCTGTTTCTGTCCCTCTGCCTGACCCTCTGTACTACGCTGCTTGTTATTACCTGTTTTGATCTCTGGCTTGTGACCCTGACCATCCCTCTGCCTGACCCTCTGTACTACGCTGCTTGCTACCTGCTGAACCTGGCCTGTGACCCCGACCATTCTCTGCTTGCTCCCCCTGTACCTACCTGCCCAATTGATATTGACCCGCCTGCCTGACGACGCTTGCTTGTATGTACTGTTATCTGTGGGTGGTTTGGTTTGTTTGCACTGTATTATGTTTAGTATTGCACTGCGTTTATGTTTGTATGGTTAGTGTTAATAAATTGTATTGTTTATCACATATCTGAAGTCTGCGTTTCCCTGCATCAGTCTCACACCTCTGGTCATACCTGGGAGCCCTGACATTACACCAAGGCCAATCCTGACCAGAAGTGGCTGCACAGGGAAGCCATCTTGGCTTGTTGATGGGAAGGATGGATCTTGATGAGGTTGAATATTTATATCTGCTAGTGTTTGATGACAGAGAGTATGCTTATCAAACTCTGAAGGAGTATACCGGGGTATGAACTGCTAGAATGTATACGGCTCGCTCATGTTCTAGTAGATCAGGGCACAGAGTTCTCTGAGGTGCAGCCTTTTGATTGAGGTTTGTGCTGAGTTGGTTTCATCTGGTTCCCCCGAATGCAGGGATGAATTTTTGCCACCATTTAGTGCAGACCAGGTAGAGTCCCTGGTGTGGTTATTAGAGGATGATGTGGGTTACTTTCTGGAGCGTTATTCTGCATGTTCACCACAGACACTAAGAGATTGTATAAACGCAGTGCAGTCATTGACCAGACAGGCTTTGTGTAAGCTCAGCTTTGTTCAACCCATACTGCAGACATGGACAGATTTGTTTGCAACCCAGCCTCAGTCAGCTTACACAAAGACCCAGTCCTGCTTCTATATCTATTTCCTCAGAAAACTCTATTCCTGCATTCCCAACAGCTCCTCCTGCCCTGCTATCTACCGCATGTCAGTACCCTGTTCCCACTCGCTGCATCCTATATCCTGCCTTTAACCCTGTAAAAGAGGCCCTCTGTAGCAACCGCTCCTCTCACTGTATCCATCCTCCAGTTCTTCTCTGTCTCCAGCTGCTCCATTCGTGTTTGCAGACCTGCGTTTTACTTGCAGTGCTCTCAGTAGTTAAAACCAGAAAAAAGCGAAAATTCTATCCAACCAATACCATCCTGCCAGTATCCAAACCGGTGAGCCCTGCCCTTCCGTGGTTCAGCCTGAAGCCTCTACTCAGCTGAAGCCTCTACTCAGCCTGAAGCCTCTCCTACTCAGCTGAAGCCTACTCAGCTGAAGCCTCTACTCAGCCTGAGCCTCTACTCAGCCTGATGCCATCTACTCAGCCTGAAGCCTCTCTTCAGCCTGATGCCGGTACGCAGCCTGATGCCTCTCCTTCACCTGATGCCTGTATGCAGCTGATGCCTCTACTACGGCCTGATGCCTCTACTCGCTGAAGCCTCAGTACTCGGCCTGAAGCCTCTAACTTCGGCCTGAAGCCTCTCTACTCGGTACCTGAATGCCTTACTTCAGCCTGATGCCTCTCTTCAGCCTGATGCCGGTCTACGCAGCCCTGATGCCTCTCTTCAGCCTGATGCCTGTACTGCAGGCCTGATGACCCTCTACTCGGCCTGAATGCCTCTACTCGGCCTGATGCCTCTACTCGGCCTGATGCGCTCTACTCGGCCTGAAGCCTCTACTCGGCCTGATAGCCTCTACTTCGGCCTGATGCCTCTACTCGGCTGATGCCTCTACTTCGGCCTGAAGCCTTCTACTCGGCCTGAAGCCTCTACTCGGCCTGAAGCCTCTACTCGGCCTGAAGCCTCTACTCGGCCTGAAGCCTCTACTCAGCCGGACGCTGGCATTCAGCCTGATGCCTCTACCGTGGTGAGCATGATGAACTGATCCAGCCTGACGATCCTATTAGGCCAGTTGACTCGATGCCCGCTGTTGATCCAGATGATCCTGGTACCTGATCCGTGCCCGCTGTCGAGCCAAATGACCTGATGCCTGGTGACCCAGTGCCCGCTGTCATACCTGGTGACCCGATGCCCGCTGTCGAGCCAGACAATCCGGTACCTGATGACCCGGTGCTCACTGTCGTGCCTGTTGACTCGGAGCCACTGCCTTGCCAGATGACGCGGTGCCCGCTGTCGAGCCAAATGACCTGATGCCTGGTGACCCAGTGCCCGCTGTCCAGCCAGACGATCCAATGTCCCGCTGACCCCAGAGCCAGCGGTCATACCAGTTGACTCGGTGCCCACTGTCCTTGCCTGTTGACGCGGTGCCCACTGCCTCGCCAAATGACCGGATGCTGGTGACCCGATGTCCCGCTGTCCAGCCAGACGATCCAATGTCTGACCAGTGCCAGCTGTCCAGCCAGACGATCCAAGTCTGACTCGGAGCCCCGCGGTTCATACCAGTGACTCGCTGCCGCCTGAGGATCCTGGTTCCCTGAGCCCCTGCCTTGCCAGATGACCCGATGCCGCTGGGGGTCGGCGCCCAGCCATGACCTGAATGCCTGGTCCGAGACCCGAATGCCCCTGGGGGGTCCGGTGCCAGACGCTCCAATGTCTGAGGACCCCAGACCGTCGTCATCGCCTGGGGTCCCTCGGAGCCGCCGGTTGTCACGTGCCTGGGAACCGGCGCCCGCCGCCTCCGCCTGAGGGCCTGAGACCTGTGTCATTCCGCCTGGGGGTCCGGCGCCCGCCGCTCCGCCTGAGGGCCCGAGACCTGTCGCTCCTCCTGGGGTCCGGCCGCCCGCCGTCCGCCTGAGGGCCCGAGCCCCGCTCTGCCTGGGGTTCCGGCGCCCGCGCTCCGCCTGAGGGAGAACCCGAGACCTGTCGCGCTACCGCCTGGGGGTCCGGCGCCGCCCGCGCTCCGCCTGAGGGCCCGAGACCTGTCGCTCCGCCTGGGGGTCCGGCGCCCGCCGCTCAGTCCGCCTGAGGGCCCCGAGACCTGTCGCTCCGCCTGGGGGTCCGGCGCCCCGCCGCTCCGCCTGAGGGCCCGAGACCTGTCGCTCCATCTGGGGGTCCGGCGCCCGCCGCTCCGCCTGAGGGCCCGAGACCTGTCGCTCCGCCTGGGGGGTCCGGCGCGCCCGCCGCTACCGCCTGTGGGCCCGAGACCTGTCGCCTCCGCCTGGGGGTCCGATGCCCTGTCGCTCCGCCTGAGGGGCACGAGACCTGTCGCCTCCGCCTGGGGGTCACGATGCGCCCGCCGCTCCGCCTGGGGGCCCGATGACCTGTCGCTCCGCCTGGGGTCCGATGCCCGCCGCTCCGCCTGGGGCCCGATGACCTGTCGCTCCCCTCCTGGGGGTCCGGCTGCCCGCCGCCTCCGCCTGGGGGCCCGATGCCTGTCGCCCCTCCTGGGGGCCCGACGCCTGTCGCCCCGCCTGGGGGCCCGATGCCCGTCGCCCGCCTGGGGGCCCGGGCCCCGCCCCCGCCGGGGGCCCGACGCCCGCCCCGCCTGGGGGCCGCCGCCCCCCCTGGGGCCCGACGCCGCCGCCCCGCCGCCCGGGGGCCCGCCCGACGCCCGGTGCCGGTCCGCCCCGCCCGGGGGGGCCCGACGCCTGCTGCTCCGCCGGGGGCCCGACGCCTGCTGCTCCGCCCGGGGGCCCGACGCCTGCGCCGCTCCGCCCGGGGGCCCGACGCCTGCTGCTCCCCGGGGGTCCCGACGCCCTGCCCCGCCCGGGGGGCCCGACACGCCTGCTCGCTCCGCCCGGGGGCCCGGTGCCTGCTGCCCCGCCCGGGGCCCGGTCCCCCCGCCCGGGGGCCCGGTCGCCTGCGCCCCGGGGCCCGGGGGCCCGGTGCTGCTGCTCTGCCCGGGGCCCGGTGCCTGCTGCTCCGCCCGGGGGCCCGGTGCTGCTGCTCCGCCTGGTAATCCGATGTGCCTCTGCCCGGAGTCCCTGCCCGATGTGCCTCTGCCCGGAGTCCTCTGCCCGATGTGCCTTCTGCCCGGTGTCCTGCCCCGTGTGTGCCTCTGCCCGGTGTGCCTCTGCCCGGAGTCCAGCCCGGTGTGCCTCTGCCCGGAGTCCAGCCCGGTGTGCCGCTGCCCGGAGTCCTGCCCGGTGTGCCAGTCTTTGATATCCCGCCAGTTACCAGACCTGGGCGGTGGAACATTTTGCCCAGCTAGGACTGTTTGGAGCGTCCTGAGGCCGCTCCTTGGGGGGGGGTACTGTTAGGAATGGACTGGCCAGCAATGGTGGGACTCACCTGCCTTTTGATCTGCAGTACCAGGGCTGGCCAGCGGGTGCTCCTCCAGCAATCAGAGACTCAACCTTTCAGCCAGCTAACACCTGGAACTGATGATGCTGGGGTATTTAAGGGATGGCCAGACTCACAGACTCTGCCTTGGTGTTGTGTTTGTCCTGGGCCCTGTATCTGTCCTGCATCCTGTTTCTGTCCCTCTGCCTGACCCTCTGTACTACCGCTGCTTGTTACCTGTTTTGATCTCTGGCTTGTGACCCTGACCATCCCTCTGCCTGACCCTCTGTACTACGCTGCTTGCTACCTGCTGAACCTGGCCTGTGACCCCGACCATTCTCTGCTTGCTCCCCCCGTACCTACCTGCCCAATTGATATTGACCCGGCCTGCCTGACGACGCTTGCTTGTATGTACTGTTATCTGTGGGTGGTTTTGGTTTGGTTTGTTTGCACTGTATTATGTTTAGTATTGCACTGCGTTTATGTTTGTATGGTTAGTGTTAATAAATTGTATTGTTTATCACATATCTGAAGTCTGCGTTTCCCTGCATCAGTCACACACCTCTGGTCATACCTGGGAGCCCTGACACACAGTGCACCATCTTTCTTTCTTACATAAAGTGCCCTATGTCTCTGAATTACATGCAGTGACTCATTATTTTTCTATCACACAGTGTCTCATACTGCTCTATTACACACAGTGCATCATACCTCTGTATTAAAGGCAGATTTTTTTGCTTCTCTATCGCATTGGGGAACTAATACTTCTCTATTATTTTGCAGTGTCTCATACTTCATTCTTACATTCAGTGCCTTATATCTCTGTATTGCACACAAAAGATTCAATTCACAAATGTTTAACATAATGATAAAGATTTCTATTTTAGCAACATGACTGTAACTTTTAAATCTGTTTGGTGTGTTAGCTTAGCATATTGAGCCCATGGCAATATACTGTACCTCTGTACTACATACAGTTTCTTTATACCCGTCTGCTACACACAGTAATCTGTATCCTGTTCTCTTCAGGCAGAGTGATGTCATGATTCAGTATTTTGTTATCTTTAACTTCATCCAGTATTACACTGGGTACATGTTGCAGTCTGATTGCACAATCTACTGTGGTTAAATAATTGGGGTTGCATACAAACTCATACAAATTTATTTATTCCAGGTACTTATAAAGCGCCGTCAATTTACGCAGCACTTTACATATATATTGTACATTCACATCAGTCCCTAACCCTCAAGGGGCGTACAATCTAAGGTCCCTAACTCGCATTCATATACATACTAGGGCCAATTTGGACAGGAATCAATTCACCTACCAGCATGTCTTTGGAGTGTGGGAGGAAACCAGAGTACCCGGAAGAAACCCACGCAGGCACAGGGAGAACATCCAAACTCCAGGCAGGTGGTGTTATGGCTGGGATTCGAACCAACGACCCTAGTACTGCCAGGCAGAAGTGCTAACCATTTAGCCACTGTGCTGCCCAAATGTTCGAAATGCATTTAATATGAACTTATGTGAGGACAGTCTTGAGGCACCCCTTCTAAAATTTAAAAAACTAAACTAATAGTTTTGCATATTTCGGCAGCATCCACACACATAAGGAACCCAATGTTAGAGGTGACTTATTTTTTTCAAAGCAAATACATTTTTGTACACTGGTTACTAACTTGTATTCCCGCTTTCTCTCCCCCATACAGATAATGTGACCCCTGTGCTGCCAGAGGCAGGGGTGGGGGAGTCAAACAAGGATGCTGTGTAGGTGCCTGATGTCCTCCTTATCACCCAATAATGCCAGAAGTTGTTGGGATGCTGGCTGCTGGCCTGCAGAGAACCCAAGGTTGTAATGCTGCAGAGTGAAAACCCGTGGCTCTGTGTAACAAAAAGCATACTTGATCCACCTGCTTGATTGTAGATTTTGGGCAATTTGGGGCAATTTCTAGGCATTTTGCCAAGGCCCCCCCTGAAGAACCCAGAAGGCACCCTGGTTGAAAAAGGCTGCTCTAGGCAGATATAATAGACACAAATGATTGCAGCTTTGTATTCAATAATACATCATTTTGGATAGACCAAGGGAGGGTTCTAACACCTGTCGGTTTATTTTTTGTTATCTGTGGTCCGTTGGGGAGATTTCCTTTCACATCCTGTCCCATAGCCTACACAGGAAGTGAGAGGAAATCCCTGCAAATTAAGGGAATTCCTTGGAGATCCCCAGTCACAAGAACTAGTGTCCACATTAAAATATTTCCTTTCTCTTATGTTTCTGGCAAGAACCCAAAATTTGGGATATTCTTTTACTCTTATTGATAATGGTAAACAGGACAAACAGAGAGGGCGAATCTCCCTAACTGGGGCACAGACAGCAAAAGAAAACCCCAAAAACTGAAGTGTTCTAATCCTTCTCTATAATCCCCAAAACTGCACAAAAAAGTTGTCTTTAGTTACACTTTAAATGTATTTCTTTTTTTTTTTTTGCAACAGTGTAAGTAACTGCATCTGACCTGGTATCAGTCTCCTACGGTTCCTGTCCAGCAGGGCTGGAGTGTGAGAGGAAGAATAAGCGGAAGAAGTTAATCTGCTCATGTACTAATAAAGAACATGCTAACAGGAGGAGAAGAGAGATTGACAGTGGGATAGGCTTATCTTTTTTTTTTTTATTTATTTAACTTTTTATTTCGTTATTATACAAACAACATTAAAACATGTTCTATCTTCCAAAGTATACTTTCCTCTTTTTTTATATAAATACATTCTATAACCCACAACCTGCCTTCCCCTCCCACCCCACCTACGACATCTCAATATTTTCTCTATCTGTATCCATTTCTCCATATATTGTTATTCCGTCTAATATCACCATGACTTCTTAGGCTGTTTCCTTTGCTTTAATTAGTTCTGTATAAGTTTCTGAGGTTTCTAAATTTCATCCAAACACCCCATATTCTTTTAAACATTTCCACCTTTTCCTCTTCTATACATCTCAATTCATTCATTCTGACAATACTTTCCACTCTATCTCTCCAGTCCACCATCCTTGGAACTTCTGCCACTAGCCAGAATTTTGGTATCAAACCCTTTGCTGCACTGATTAAATGATACA